CTCCTGGCTCTGCCTCCTGAGTGCTGGGATTAAAGGCGTGCATGAAGAAGCAATGAGAAGTAGTACTGTGGCTGAGTTACCCTGGGCCAGGTACTCACCACAGGCACAACAGTACTTCCTTCCTGTCTAACTAAGCAACACACACAGTGCTTGGAGATTAACGGAGATGCACCTCAAAAGCTGCAATTCTCCTTCTTCTGTAAAAGTAGCAGAAACAACAAAACTACTAAAAAGCATTAGGACACAGCACACTTCACATATAGTTCAACTGTATAAGAAAAAGTTCACTAATTTTGACTTATGTAAACCCCAAATGGTAAAATATATTATTTCAGGGAGGAAAAAACATTCACTAAATGCAATGGATTAAATAAACTACATTGAATATAAAATCATTCCTTTGGAAACATCCATAAGAAATAAAGGCAGAAGGGCACAGTTAGAAAAGTTAAACTGTACTTAAGGCAAACCAGGAAACAACCTTAAACCTACACAAGTCCACATCCCAGCATGGGTGAGCTCATGACTGTTCCCCCCTACCCCCTGAAAACTGGTGAGCTATTGGCAGTTGATGGATTCTGAGGAACAGTCAGTTTTCAAGGGTGTAGTCCCTTGTAGGTCAACTGGTTGCTAGCCTCACACTTATTTGGGCAGTATAAACTGGACTTGGTGGGACGTTAAAAAAATAAAGGACAAGAATTGAGAGCATGTAATGGGAAAGAAAGAGTTAGGGGAGGAGTGGAGGGAAGTGTTATTAGAACACACTGAATGAACTTCTCAAACAATAATAAAAAAGTAACCTTAATTAAAGAAAACATAGACCATCCCCAAAGAAGAGGATGCCTGCCCTCTTCCTCTTACAGTGCGAAGGATGTGAATGGATGAAGGAGGAACCACTGTCATGAGAGCTGATTTGTGGAAGTGCTAACACCACTGTGCAAAAATAACAGAAGGAGGATGCAGAGATGGTTCAGTGGTTAAGAACATTGACTGCTCTTCTAGAAGAGCCAGGTTCCATTCCCAGCACCCACATGGTTGCTCACAACCACCTGTGACTCCAGTTTCAGGGGTCCGATGCCCTCTTCTGGCCTCCCTGGGTACTGTACACACACTGTGCACAGACACACACACAAGCAAAACACCAATACACAAAATCACAAAACAGAGTAAACAATAACACGGATACATTTCTGATCTAAAATACACTTGGATGATCTGCCATTTAGTTTTCACATAGCAATGAAGAAAAATGAAACGTTATTTTCTGATATTCATAGTGTCAATCTGTAAAATGCCAAAATTTAAAACAAAAAAGAAACAAGCATATAACTTTTAAACTATGCATGTACATGACAAAAAAATATCCATTCTGTTAATTTGGCCCATATTCTATAAACACATGGAACTGTGCACACACACACCCCGGCCCCAGCATCATTTAAGATCCATTGTTGAGCATGTGCACACACAGATGACAACAGGAAGCTAGCCTTAACACAGGCAGACCGCATTACACATTCTTAAGAATGATGAGCCAAGAACAATTGAATATGTGAGCATGGATTTCCACTTTATAGATTTGGTATATGAATTGTGCTGTAAAGATGTGTGTGTATTTTTTGAGAACTAGGATGTATGAATCACGACAGTAAAGAGAGGATCTACTTCTTTTGTTTTACTGGAATGACACTGTGCCTTTATTTAAAAACATTTTTTTTTCTTTTGAAAGGACTGCAGCCTACAGGCAAGTTGTAAAAAGTGTTGGATTCACAGAAGCTATCCATTCTCCTCTAACACAGAGCCCAAGGTGACGGCGGGTCTCCATTTCCCAGCAGCTGGTCTCACATGGGCCTGGGTGGCAAGCGCTGCTTGTACATGCCTGCCACAGCCTTGGCTGTGCTGTAGATCATCTGTCGGCGAGACATACCCGTGAAAGCAAGGTGCCAATCAGTCCGGCTGACATTTAGCAAGCTCTTTTCCAGGACTTCACCCACTGTCACCAAAAGGCCTGACCACCTCAGATTGTAGTCCTGGGGAGTCAGGCTTTGTGCCTATGGAAAAAGGAAAGTGAGTTACTTGTCACACACTGAAACAGCACTGGAACTCACTATGTTAAAAATGACACCTCAACATCTTGACTCAGCACATTTTAATATAGATTATGACAAACCCTCAAAACTCAGCTCTGCTGCCACCAACTGTATAAAGTTACGGGGGTTAAAGGAACCAAACCACACAGCACACACCTACTGTGTTAGTAACAGCCCACCACACGTACTGTTCAAATACAGTCTGGTCTCCTTGTACTTCACATTTTCAGTGGTGCTGAAGCTGACACACGGGCCTGAGTGCACGTTCAAGTCCTGAAAGAACTCCACCTCCTCGTGACTCTCGCTGAGGCCTTACATTCTAGTTCTACATCCAGGGTCATCACTTCGTGTTAATAAGAGGTTTGTACTAAGATGATATTCTTCTTATAGTCACAAAACTCCAAGCAGAGAGAGACTGTATGTTGAGTCTTTGGCCCATTTAAGAAAGGGTTTATTAGCTTGTAGGAAGTGTCTGCAAACACGGCTGATGTTAGACAGGAGCTCTCAAAGGGCACCCAGGCCAGGGCAGCACCCAGCAGCACTGTCAATCACCACCCTAACCCAGCCTAACCCAGCCGGTACCCGCTTCTCTGAAAACCACTTGTTCACACACAGGAGTGAAAGACAAATAGATGCAAGGATTCAACAGTTGCCAGGGTTTTGTTTAGAGTGCCAGCACAATCCAGAGAATATCTGCATGCAGAAGGGATCTGCACTGTGCACAGATCCCCAACTAGCTGCTTCACAATCACCCGAGGGGCTTTCTAAAACAACAAACAAACAAACAAACAAACAAAACCATTTCCTACGACAACTGAACTGGAAACACTACAGCCCATTCTAGGACAAACAGTCAAGAGTGACATCACACAGCTTCCCAGCAATCCTGACAGAGACAGTGCAGCACTCTGCATGACCAGCACTGAAGTGGACGTCAAAGAGAAACATCCGGTCTTCAAAGACCCCGGGAGCCTGCTCCTCACCCACCACACAAGTCCTCAGGACCCTGCTCCTCACCCATCACACAAGTCCCCAGGACCCTGCTCCTCACCCACCACACAAATCCCCGGGGCCCTGCCCCTCACCCACCACACAAGTCCCCGGGACCCTGCTCCTCACCCACCACAGACGTTCCTGGGGGTCTTGCTATAAGGCAGGTCCTGACTCAGTAGCTCAGCACAGGGGGTTGAAAAACTTTTTGTTTGTTTGTTTGTTTGTTAAATCAAATGTGTAGGTGATACCTGTGACGCTGGGTCAAAGATCATACTTCTGAGTGACCTGATACTGTTAAGCAAAACTTGGAGCAGCCGGGTTTTAGTGGGGATGGGAAAGAAGCGTAAGTTATATTAAAGTCTTTTAGCAGATTTTTGCAGGGACACATACTGACAAGGACAGTTTACTGAAGAAATGCTTTCTAAACCCTTAAATTACTGAACTGTGACAAGGCACAGATGTAAGACATTTCAGGACAGATCAGGAAGCATGGCAGAGAACTCTTTAAAATTGTGATAGGGATGCTGAGTTTCTGGTGGGGGTAAGGGTAGACTCAGTTATCTTTAAGGAGCTGGTCACTAGAAGTTTGACCATGCTTCCGTGAGAATATGAGCAAAACAAGGTGGACGTGGTATATTTTTCTTTTTTTGGGGAGGGGGAGAGGGAGCACTGGGTGGGAGGGTGGACCTGGGAGGATGGGAAGTGAGTATGATCAGAGCACATTGTGTGAAATTCCCAAATAATCAATAAAAATATTATGTTGAAAAAAAAGAACAGAGAAACGTGAACAGCTAGAAACAAAAGATATTTCAATGCGCATAACTGTTTATCTTGGGAATTTTGAAACCACACAACAAAAATTAAACAGAACAAAAGGCAAACTCCGTGGCTGGCTGTGCACCTCCCCAGGCCTCCCGACTCGTCTGCATGTGTTCTAAAGCATATGGATCCCTGTTAGCAAGGGCCACACTAACCACATGCTCTCTGACACTGCAGTATGTGAGCGCTTTAGATGCATGCGGACATGTGGGCCTACTTCACTGTTAGAGCAGCATGTCCAACTAATCAGTCCTCAAACTAAATTACAATGAACAATGGTCAAACATCCGGCACGGGGCCGACCATCCTCTTTTGAAACAGGCTGAACAGTAAAGATTTCAGATTTTGAAGCCAGTCTTCCCCACAGCTCCTCCATTTTGTCCTTTTGGCACAAAAGCAACGATGTATAAACAGTCTATGAGTAGATCGGCAGCTCCATGCAAGACAGACATGAAAACAGGCAACAGGCCAGAGCTGGCCCTGGGGTGACTGTGTGCTGACCCCACAGCTACCTCAGCGTCTACAATGCGGTGACAGGAGCCATCTTAGACTCCAACAGTCCTCCTGCTGCTGTATCAGCAGACTGGAGATGGGCCTGCCTTTGCAGCACACACAGACTTCTAATCCTGATGGGCTGGGGCTGCTCAACCGCAAGCGTGTTACTTCTGCAAGTCCCTTAACTCTGCTGAACCCTCCTTCTTTAGCACTCATGTAACTGCACAGCTGCTTTGTGAGCCCATCTTCAGCTTTTTCGTCAGGACACAGTGCTCTGGGGTGTTCTGGGCTTGGTGGGGTTACCAGTGATTCCGATTCCTGCTCTGAGCAGTGTGTGAGGCCTCACGGAAGGGGCTGCACCGAGTCCTGGTGTCTCACTGCCACTGTGAGCACAAGAACCAGTTGCAGTGTGTTACAGATCCAGCTCAAGACATTAGTCAGTGCCGTACTGCTGGGTGGCGCTCTTTCCCTGGAGGCTAATGGAAGCGATTAGGCTAAGTCACATGAAACAGGGTAGAGACTCCTCGACTTTAATATTAAAGACAGCAGCAATTCTACATGGCTCAATCTAACACTTCTGAATCGACAGTGTAAAACTTCTATCTTCCCAGAACCTGTCACATGATGTCCATTTTAAGTTTTATTAGCATAACAACATGCACAGCATCAGCTTAAAGCCTCCACACATCAGTGATAGAAGAGTTTACTTGGCCTGCTGAAGAGAACTTAGGTATAAATATGCTTCAGAAAAACATCAAAACTCCAAGCATCTTTCCACACTGCAAACATAAGGAAGGACCACTAGCCCCTTTAGCAACTTTATGGCCATACATTAAACTGAAATGTAACTACACACACATTTTCTCAGAGAACACCAACTTTCTTCCCATATTGTCAAATGTCCATACACTCCAAATAATTGTAAAAGGGTTCATGGTACAGAACCCAATGATAGGCACATCCATTCTGTTCATTAGAGAATTAAGAGAACATTTACATAAAATGTATACATATATATGAACCAGTTTGGAAACTGTCCACAGACACATCATTAGGTCCATTTTTTCAGCCAGCATACCTAAAGACAAATTCCTATTGGCTACATTTTTTAAACTTTATTTTTCTTTTATGTGCATGGGTATTTTGCCTGTTTGTATGTTGGTGCACCACATGCACACTTGGTGTCTGCAGAGGCATCAGATCCCCTGGAACTGGAGTTACAGACAGTTGGGAGCTGCCATATGGGACTTGAACGCAGGTCCTTAGGAAGAGCAGCCAGTGCTCTCAACCACTAAGCCACCTCTTTAGTACTCTTCTAAATTTTGTGTTTGTTATTTTGGGTTTTTGAGACAAGGTTTAACTGTGTAGCCCTGACTAGCCTGGAACTTGCTTTGTAGACTAGGCTGGCCTTAAGCTCACAGAGATCCACCTGCCTCTGTCTCCCAAGTGCTGGGATTAAAAGTATACACCACCACGTCGTTTAAAAAGTTTCATTTAACTTTTTAAATATTGACTGGTTACTAAAATGGACAACTAAAAAGGACGATTAGCTCCAAGAGAAGGGAAGGAGATACAATAGTAGGAACAAAGATGAGATAAACAGGGCTGGGGACACGGCTCAACGGGTCAGTGACTCCTGTGTAAGACAAGGACCCAGCAGTCACTTACGAGAAGGCAAACATGAGAGCACATGGCGGAAATCCCAGTGCAGGGGAAGTGGAGACAGGAGGATCCCCGGGACTACTAGCCGGCCAGCCTCGCCTAACTGGTGAGTTTCAGGTCTTTGAGAGACTTGTCTCAAAAAACCACAAAGCAGGGTGGACAGCTCCTGAGGAGCGGCACCTGAGCCGTCTGTCCTCTGGTTTCCACACATGCAACACTTCTGCACCCACACCCCCATCCAGACAACCACGGGTGGATAAAGGAAATGACAACACCAAGTACATGTGAGACAGGGTTAAAGGCCAACGTTCTTCTGATTTCAGCACCACGAACGTAAAACAGGAAAATGCTCTTTTCCCTGGTACAACCAGGAAAGCGACAAGCACAGCAAAGGGGAAAGACAGAAGCAATAATCCTCACGATAAATAAGGAGCATCACGACCCGGCAAAGATACCAACCTGCTGCACGAACTCCAGAGGCACCGGGGTGGCCTGAGTAAAGGCTTCCAGGCGGATGCCGTGTGCGGGGTCCTCAACCAGCAAGCAGCCGACGTCAAACCATCTAGGACACAAACAGGAGCACACGGTTACACACGGTTACCCACACACGAGATAAAACGAGAGTGGACTGGAGCAGCACACTGTTACACACTGTTACACACACACGAGATAAAACGAGAGTGGACTGGAGCAGCACACTGTTACATACACACCAGATAAAACAAGAGTGGACAGGAGCAGCACACTGTTACACACTCTTTACACACACACTAGATAAAACGAGAGTGGGCCGGAGCAGCACACTGTTTACACACACACCAGATAAAACGAGAGTGGACCGGAGCAGCACACTGTTACATACACACTAGATAAAACCAGAGTAGACCGGAGCAGCACACTGTTACACACTGTTACATACACACCAGATAAAACAAGAGTGGACAGGAGCAGCCACACTGTTACACACACACTAGATAAAATGAGAGTGGACCGGAGCAGCACACTGTTTGTTACACACTCTTTACACACACACTAGATAAAATGAGAGTGGACCGGAGCAGCACACTGTTTGTTACACACTCTTTACACACTAGATAAAATGAGAGTGAAGAGACAAAAGGAAAGTCATACTTACTGCTCAGATTAAAGACTACAGCTCTCAGAAAGGAAATGTTTTTCTAATTAGTTTGCACTCCAACAATCCATAAATGCAAAAATAAAATTACTCGATTGTCTTAATTCCAAGAAGAGATAGGAAGAGAATAACAAAAAAGAAAACTGTAATCACTGACCATGGGAAATTTCCTTCTTGCTAAGATGGAGGATGATATGAATGGGGGTACTCAGATACACAGATGATAAAAAAAAATTACACTTATTTGAACATGCAAAGAGCTCCTTGTGGATAATATTTTTTAACGATTACTTGCTAAAATACGGGGAAATTTGTTAATACCAACTCCCACCAGCATGTAGCCATCTAACAATATTACTAGTAAATCAAGAAATCAGCTCACTCAGAGGAAATAAGCCTGTGCTTGATCCTCATGAACATGAACCCTTCCTTCGAATCACATGTTCCAAGTTAGGGTCAGCCTTTGAAAACACACTCATAAAATCAAGGTACTTTTTCCATGGAAAGATACTTACTGTATATTATAAAAAATGAGACATCACAAACATACTTAAGATAATTTGGACAGCATCAGAATTCTAGCTACCAGAAATATCAAACAACCCTGAAATGAATTTAAGTACTAGGGGCATATGGACAAGGCTATGTTCAATGTCTCCATCTTTTAAAAATTAAGTACCTTTAATAAGCACAAAGAACTACACAATGAATAAGGAGATAACACATTTTTAAAAACCACTAAATAAGACACACAGCAGCATAAGCAACTCTGCAGAATATTAAAATGGTACTTTGCAATGTCTCAACATTCACATCTTAAAAATGTTTTAACTCATGAATACTGAATAATATTTATTCTACTTAACTACTTGTCAAAATTCCGTATTTTGTTTTAACAATGTTCTCGTTCAAGAAAAGTGTAGCTAAGCTCAGCTAAACCTTGTTTTGCCTCATTTCGCCTGCTGTGGGCACAGTGTCCAACAGGATACTTACTGCACTGACTCAACCTGAGGCAAGCACCTTGGCATCCTGAGAAGCTGCCCTAAAGGCATGGCAGTCTCTCTCTATCACCAGCACACATGAGAACTCCAGTCCACCTCTGTTCTACAGAGACCACCTCCACCAGACCCTGCAGCCTGGGACCTGCTTTCCCATTCCCTTCACTGTGAACATGCATGTGCCCACCGCCCTTCCCTTTCAGTCCCTGGCAAGGGAACTTTCAGAGTTCCCTCTCCTTCATAAAGTCCTTCTACAGGATCACAATGGGGCCAAGGGTGGGGAGAATCTCAGCTGATCACTTTTGATCACTAGGGATCTCCACCTTCCTTTTCTGTGTGTAAGACAAGGTGAGAAGAACATGACGGACCGTGATTCCAAGGCAGTTTCATTTCCCAGAGCAAAAAAAGGTTCACACTAGATTCAGAAGTCATGAAGAGACCACCTACCGTCACCACTCAAGTCACAAAAAGTTGATGCTTAACACATTATAAGAACATTTTTGTGTACTTAACACTAATCCAAAACTAACAGCAAAATCTAGATCTGTTGTTCTCAGAATACTTCCCCTGGTGTTACTCTGTATGTGGAAGAAGACAACAGACTACTTTTTCCAACTTAGCATCAACAGATGACGACATCTGAAGAGCACTAACCACGTCTATCTGGTTCTACTCCTTCTACCCAACAAGCGCATTCAGAGATGATTTCCCTTTTAGGTGATGGCTTCTCCTGGCAGATGTTTTCCAGCTCAGTAGAAGCCAGATTTTGCAAATTATGGTTACAAAATGCTAGGCAACAAGTAAACAAAAAATTAAAGGCAAATATGAAACCACCATGCAATTATAAGTGAAAGTAGAATTCACCAAAGCATGGTTGTTTATTATAAAGTTATAATTATAACAGCATTTCCAAAAAGGTTTTTCCTTTAAAAAAAAATCTATTAAAAACATAGAGACATAGAGGCCCCAAACAACACTGAACTGTGATTTCCAGAGGTCCTTTAAAGCTAACCACACAGTGCTGTATAACTACATCAAGTCTTCTTGCCTACATCTCCGACTCTGAGTCCCCACAGGACTTACTCCTGGTGTTCAATCCCACCTACCCAAGCTGACCTGCACTGGATCTTACATTCGGTCCTAGTGTATCAAGTAGTTGTCGGCACAGTTTCAGAAGCAGGCATCACTGTGCACCACTCTTTACAAAACAAAAGTGAGAAGTGTCAGCTGAGCACGGGAAGCCCCACCATCAGAGCAGACACTCCACTCTGGCTTTACAACAGGAGACACTTTTTCCAGGCGTGCCACGTGAACTCCAGACACAGCTGTGCTGACTCCCAGGGCCCCCTGCACCTCTTACTTGTCGGGCAGCAGCTCAGCAATGAAGTTCTCCACCGACACGGCAGTCTGCTTTTCATGGATGGCACCAGTTCTCCGTAGGCTGTCTATACGTTCCTGGGCACCCTGAGCAAAAGCAGAACAAACAGGCTGAAACCAGTTTCTCAAAACAGTATTAATACTAAATATACCGATTCTTAGTTATATAACACATGCACGTATTTAACATATACACTCACTGTAAACATTCAAACAATGCCAAGGTATAGAGCAGTGGGTCTCAGCATAGGGGTCATGACCCCTTCCTTGTGCATCTAAGGACCCTTCCACAGGGATCACCTAAGACCATTGGAAAACACAGTTCTTACACTATGATTCTTAACAGTAGCAAATTACAGTTATGAGGTAGCAATAAAAACAATTTTACAGGTGGGGGTCACCACATATGAGGAACTGTATTAAGGGTCACAGCATTAGGAAGGTTGAGAACCACTGGTCTACAGTAACAATATCCAATGGGATTCCCTTGGTATTAAGTTTAGGGTACATTTTCCAAATTATTCCTTCATGCAGTATTGTGTTGGTTGCAAGTTATTAAAAAGATATTTTAAAATTAGAATTTCTAACTGACTACTCAAATAAGACAGCCTTATTTTTAAATGCTCATTTAGCAAGAGGTCATCTTCCAAAATAAAAACCTTTCAGCCCTGGTATCTGTTTGGTTGATTGGCTCTTGACTTTGGGCTTGTGACCACACCTACACTCAACAAGTGTCTTTCCAGTTTTTCTAATTCCCTTTTAAATACACATGCAGCAACACTGAACACTACTACAATGAAAAAGTCGCATGTGTACGTGGTACACGGAAACTGATTCAGCAGAATAACTGTCACTCGTAAATCCAAAGAGGCTGGAGAAACCTGCACATAACTCATAGCTAAGGGTCTATATTGGGGAGTAGGGCAGCTAAAGTCAGATTATGAGGGCAGGCTGCTGTATCCAACTGTTACCCGAATCATCTCATGAACAGCGGTTACAAATGATGTGATAAAGATGTTCAAAGGGCTAAGTCTGGGGATGGGGAGGGGGCGCCGCAATCCCAGCGCCTGAGAGCACAGAAGGAACGGGAGTTCCAGACCAGCCTGGGCCACATAACAAGACATAGTCTCAGACACACGTACAAAGACCTATTTCTGAAAAAAATCTAGCCAAGAATAAGACTCCCCCCAAGACCCCCCCCCAGACAGGGTTTCTCTGTGTATCAGTCCTAGCTGTCCTAGAACTCACTCTGTAGCCCAAGCTGGCCTCGAACTCACAGAGATCCACCTGCCTCTGCCTCCTGAGTGCTGGGATTAAAGGTGTGTGCCACCACTGCCCAGCTGAATAAGCCTATTTTTAAGTATAGAAGAGCTAACAGGAAAAAGAAAAATGAAATGACATGATGACACACTTAATTCTTACACCATGATTAGGAGACAAATGAACCGGAGAAGTGGCAGCTCCATGAGACTGGACTCAACAGCTTACGATGCTGGCTTGGAAGGAAGAAAGACAATACGATTCTACAGCAGGTGAATGCTAGCTGTCTAATTTTGATCAATTATGTTTCCTAGGCTTGGCATTAGACGTAAACAAACAAGGATTTAATAAGAACTTGCCATGTGAAATACCAAACCATGGAAAAGCCAATCTTGAAACCTTGACAAGCAGAGACTCAGTCCAGGCAAGAGATTTGTCCTCACCTTTCAAACAAAACTCATTCATATATATATATGATGTATATATGTATGTATGTATGTATGTATGTATCTTAAGGTTTACATGTATGGTGGGTATATATTTATTTTTCCAATTGACCAGTTTCATTTCTAGATTAGACCAAATGCAAACCCTACAGACATCGACTAGCTTTATTATATGGCACAAAGGATTTTTTCATAAATGTACCCTGGTGTCAAAGTCAAAGGAAACATTACATGCTCCTTTACAAAGTTTTTAAATGTAAATATAGTTGATCCTCAATAATTCTAGAATCTATACTGGTGATTTGCTAAAATTTATTGGTAACTGCAACATCAGCTGTGCACAAAACTACAAAATAATTAGAGGTCTGTCCTGCACATCTCCAGCCGAGTTACACAAACGCCACTACCTTCTTGTCTAAGCACACGCGTTGTAACAAGCAGCTGCTGCTGTATGTGGTGCCACCTTTTGCATTGTATTGTTAAAAGTTGCCACCTTTTCAAAGGGTCCTAAGGATAATGCTCAAATGCTCTCTGAGGCTGCTAAGCACAGGAGGGCTCTGAAATACTTTAGGAGGGGAAATGTGTGTGCTAAACAAACTGCATCCAATCAGGAGTTACAGGACTGCTGGCTATGAATTTACTATAATGGATATACATATCAATATCTATTTGCAAATGTAAAGCTGTATCTGAACAGAATCAAACATTTAAAAAAAAAAAAAAAAAACTTCTACGTTGACAGTCTGGCAAAAAACACTGTGGCCAGAAGCCTACAGGGACCTAATACTTTTTCCCTTGGTAGCAAGAGTACCAGACTCACTAATATGGTGTGTGGCAACCTCACAGGAAAAACCTCAGCACACATGTGTCTTGCAAACAAGACGGAGTGATGGAATAGAGACAAGAGGAGGTGCAGCAGGTGTCCTTTTCTCATCTGAGGAAGCGGAAGGCAGGACTGCCTGCCGTCCACTGGGATGAGGTAGGACTGAGTACAAGAGAAAGAAAGGTTTCCTTCTAGACACGCTGAGCTTGGGACAGTCACGTACAGGTGTCAAAAAGGCAACTCTTACATAAACTAAGAATTCACAGCAGTCTTAGTGGCAATAGGAAGCTCAGTGTCAGTATAAGAGGCAGGCGAAGGCCAGGGCCGACATGAGGTCAGCAAGGAGTGCATGGAGACAGAGACCAAGAGGAAGCTGGGGAGAAAAGGAGGGACCAGCACCGGAAGCACAAAGCAGACAGAGAGCAACAGATGAACTCGGACAAAAGATACAGGGTGAAAAACAGACTAAGGTCAGACCTGGTGCTGCACATCCATAATTCCACAACTCTGCAGGTGGAAGCAGGACCGGGAGTTCAAGGCCAGTGTTGGCTCCAGAGTAAGTCTGAAGCCGGCCTGGCTATTCCAAACTCTAAACAACAGAGAGGATGACCACCTGCCTGGAAAGCCCCTGATCAACCAAATAAATGGCAAGTCATTACTGGTGGCTTTGAGTGCACTCTTACTAGGACAGGGAAGTGCAGAAGTGTGGAAAAGCAGTTGGAAGTGTAGGCAGTTGGAAAAGCAGAGAAAATTAGAGAAAAATGCTCAGAATTCCTACAGGAGTTTTACTGCACAAGGAAGCAAGCATGGTAGAATGAAACAGGGGAAGTGAGGTCATAGAACACAGGGGAAGTGAGGACACAGAATTTGCTAAGATTTCCTTACCCTTGCTTTAGGATAGGAAAATGTTTGGATGACATAAACTTCATTTGTTCTGGCATGATTGTGTCCTTAACAATGTATCAGAGTTGTGTGTGTGTGTGTGTGTGTGTGTGTGTGTGTGTGCGCAAGTGTGTGTGGGACCCAACAGATAGTATAATTTCAGTAACTGACTTGAAACTCAATACTACATTATAAAGATTCCTTTCAAGATCATCTATTCTTTTTGTTCTTTCTTAATGCCACTGCCATCCTCCTCCAATAATCAAAACCTAATGGAGATTTCATTCAATTAAAACTCCCTTATATCTTCCTAACATTGCAGTGTTGACTGACAAATGACAAAGCTGGTATTTCAGTCTATAAATACACAGTAGTTCTACACAGAGCACAGGATTGCTACCACAATTATGGGCAAATGAATTGCAGGTCCCATCCTCCGGAAAAGCTTTTATCACTCACCTTTAATCCAGCCGCATAGCCTACTGGCTGTGGGGCGATATTGGACTGTCCAGCTTCCCCCACAACCACAGCTAAGCCAAAGACCTCCTGGAAGGCATCTCGGACAGCAGCCACCTTCACTTCTTTATTTGAGGTGACAACAATATCCAGTTCACCTCCAGATTCTACAGAAACCAAAAGAAATCTCAATTCCAAATTTAAGCAGTAACTTTCTAGACAGTCCACCATAGGCTTACACTGTGTTGACTAATTGTTAGCAGCCTCACACATGTGAGCTAGGCTGGCAGAACCTTACCCACCATGACACAGCTGCCAATCACTACTGTCAGGACTCACGCAGGTCAGACACAATCCTCTCTTTATCACACCTCCCACCCTCCAACCTCAGAGCCTGCTATTCCAGCATGTGCTTACAACCCAACTCCCAACTTCCCTTGTGTTTTAAGGATGGGGACTCAGCACATCATCTGCGGTCTTACTCGTGAGCCAGGCTAGCACACGCCTCCTACTGGCTCCGAGTCACCCGTGGTAACTAGAGCACAGTCCTTCGGTATTCTATGGAAGCTCCAGAGCACATCAGCGCTGTCTGAAGCACAGCCTGCTGCAACCAACTGTGGGCGAGGGTACCAGGAGGAGGAGAAGTCAAAGGCTGAGTCCTGCACCTTCTCATTTACCAGCTTCATCACCCTGAGGAAGACACAGGGCTGGCTTCTTTGTGGAAAAACACCTGCCACCTCAATGGCCTTGCTCTAAGTACTGACTTCTAATTTGGTATGCCCAAAGGAACAGCAAGACCTCCAAAAATGTTCATTCCTTCATTCAAATACATACAAGAGAAGAAAAGAATTACATAATTTAGTAAGTATTTCCAACTAGACTGGTGTGGATATATGAATATAAAAATAAATATATGCAGTAAAATCAAATATATGAATCCTCTGGATGGTTACATACAGGAAGAATTCTTTGGCATTTTGTGTTTGTTTGTATTTTGTTGATTTTTGAGACCATGAATATACTATGTGGCTGAGGCTAGCCTCCCACATCCCACTTCCCAAGTGCTGGGATTATAGTCATGTGTAACTACACATAGCTACCTGATTTAACTCCTGATTCAAATTCTTTTACACAGGAAGCAAAATAGACATAAACAGATATAGATGAATGATACATGTATATGTAAATGCAACTGAGCTCCACCAAGTTGCATGACCAATATAGCAACTTACACCTCTCCAAACCCAGGTTCCTTACCCCAAACTGAACGAAAATACATGTGTCACAGAGCTCGTCTCGGCATCAGTGTCTAGCAGAACAAGAACTTGGAAACCGCACTTAGTCTCTAAAGGTCTTACCAATGCGCACAGATTAGATGGGGAATCACCAATGGAGTGGAGACAAGCTCTTGGCTTTTTCTGTCACTAAAAACTTCTGTTCCAGTATCTAGTACACAGCTCCAGCTCGCCAAGAGCTTCCACAGGATTACTGACGAGTGCTGGCCTAGCTGTCCCTATTTGTTCTTATACTGGAAATGCACATAAAAATTAAAGAGCAGTATGCCCATGTCAACCGTCTGAGGCTATCTAATGAGAGCTCAAAAAAAAAGCTAAAACAATGTTCCCAGCACATTAGTAATCAAGTTTTATTAAGTGTTAAATTAGCTTCCTCCAAAAATATTATTCCTGATTAAGCATAAACACATTTGATTAAAATAGATAATTAGAAAAATTGCCAAAACCAAGTATAAACAAAGAATTACTTGAAAACTAAAAATGAATAAAGAAAAATCAACATAAACCACTAAAAAGATATAAAAATTACTATCAAATTACTCCTTCTTGCTTCCAAAGCTCATACTATGAAGTCCTAAAACTTATATAAGATGACTAAGAAAAGATAAATTAGTTACACCAACACACAGATTGAGGATGAATCTGAGTTAACATCTGAAATGAACTGAAACTACAATTGTGCGTGACACTGACAAACACTCTAGAAACGTGGCCCACACTAGGCTCACTTATATACATACTGATATATGGAGCCATGCCGGGGTCCAGCGTCGTAATCATGCTCTCCACCGAATGCTTGGTCTTGTCAAGCACAGATTTCACCATAGGATTCCCAGCTACACCCTGTAAGCAAGATACAAATATTCAGTTCAAGCAAAGAACACCTTGACTTTCCTAAGCATGAAAGAACTTCTTAAAACTTAATTTTGAGAATTTCATACATGAAAACAATTTAGTGAGGTCATACTACCCCCATTTCCCTTTCTAATTTCTCCCACGTTCCAACACACCACTCCCAACTTTGTGTCTTTTCTTTGATAACCAACTAGGTCCAGTTAGTGCTGCCCATCTGTACATGGACATGGGGACATCCCCGGAGCATAGGAAACTTACCAGCAGCTACCTCCTAAAAAAGAACGATTCTCCTTCCCTCAGCAACTGTTCACTGCCAATAGCTCCTCACTAAGGGAGAGAGCCTAGAGATCATCTACCACATCTATGCTTGTATGTGTGTCAATGAAGAGATGCATAGCTGGTCAGTGCTGGGAATGAGAGATGATGTCAGCCCCGAATGGGACACCTCTGTTAACCACACTACTACCAAGGACCAGGGAACATCACAGACAGGAGGGGGAGGATTCTGAAAGCAAAGGATGGGGAAGCGTGCTATGAAACAGTGCTCCCGAACACGGACGGCTGCTGCAACTGTGAGCTCACAACAGCTGTGGATACCTGCAAGACCAACACAGGAAACTTTTCAAGTTTCCCATGCATCCGTGGACCAGCACGTTTAAAAACTATACAATGGTACTTTTGGAATCTGTAAGTAAAATGAGGTCAATCAATGCCAAATTCCTACTACAATCTAAGTAGTGCTCTTGGCTTCTTCCCTTCACACACAGAAAGCAGGCCAGCAGCAGCCTGTGGAGGGTTCTAAAACAACACTGTTTGAAAAGTGATAGTCTGAAAAGTGTGTTTCAGTCATAAATATATTTACAGAAGAAACTTGCTCCTCAGGGCTCCAAATAAGGATTGTAACGATGTGTCTATATAAGTGCATACTTTGTTCCTAAAAAGATAAAGGCAGTAAAAAAATCCTTCTCACTATTATCCCCCAGAATAGTTCCTGATCACCTTAATGCATAACTTTGTCCTTCGCATCTTCTCCTCAAGCTCCCTTTCTGTACCCATTCCCACACCCTCTCCCTTAGGCAGCTCTCCCTTCTTGAATCTACAGACCAACAGCACCATGAGCTTCCACCAGAGTGGTCCAGCTTCCCTTCTTACACTCCAACTCTTCCAAAGTAAGAGAGCGCCCCCTAAAGGGCATCCAAAGACTGCAATTCCCTCTTTCCAACTCACCAAGGAGATGACTGAGAACAGGTGAGTTCAAAAGAATTAAGTTTGAGACTGCCAGGCAACCTCACGATAAAAATCATGTAAGCTGATCTGGGTGTTACAACTAGCAACAGGCCATCTCTTTACAAAGCAGGAAGAAAGTTGTAGTTTCTATATGAGAAAAGATTTCACAGGGCAGAGATCTAAAAAAGCAAGTGTTTAAGAAGACCAGATTCCTGAAACACGACCACACTAACCATAACCACTTAGTTTAAAACTGTGTTTAATGTATGTAACTAAACTGAACAGCTTCTCAGCAGAACACCGGGAGGAAGTTGGCAGAATGAGTTCAGAATTCTTTTTTCTTAAGAAAAAAGTGGGGAAGACCAGCAAAGCAAACCTCAAGAGAACCCAGCGGCTCCCAGCACCGGAACCAGCGGCTCCCAGCACCGAATACTGCTGCCCTTTCTAACCCACACTCCTTTTCATCAGGGAATGATCCGCACACCCACCTGGGCACAGTGAGCTTCCAGCATGCATCTGTGGGATGACCAAACCCAGCCACAGTTTAAATGGTGTGCTACTATTACAGAGACAGGGTCAATGGGATAAAAGTCAAAGCCCAGAGACTGGCACTAATGTGTAATTTAGTAAATAAAATAAGGGGGACATCGGGTCCCTGAGGGGATGACCTCAAAATACTCCATTAAGAGGCTGGAAAACACTTAAATTTCTCTGTCTTACATCAGCTACATTGAACTACTCAGGGTGAAAATTGAAATGGTTAAAAAAAAAAAAAAGATGGAATGTAAAGGTATTCTTTCAGCATATAGAATGGAAAGAGATTCACAGAAACGACTTCTGAACACTTAAGAACTTTTGTGTTGAAAAAGTATAAAATTAAAATGTAGATTAAAATGGAATAGACCATAATATGTACATCATAAAATAGCATTGCTATATAGTCAGAGTTCTTAACAAACTCACTTAGAGAAGCAAGACTCCCATCTTCAAATTGGGCAAAGATGAACAGAGAATCCAGAAAACAATTCCATGGGGGGAGGTGCGAAGGCCAAACTTAATTAACAAAGAACTGAAAATTAAAACATGGTTTCAAATTTGGGGGTATGGCTTTTAAGGAAAAGCACTTGAGTCACATGAGGACCAGAGTTGGGATCCCCAGAACCCATACAAAAAACTCAGTGGGTGTGGTGCCCTTATATAATCCCAATGCTCAGGATGGAGAGTCGGAGCAAGCAGGCAAGCCAGACTGGTCCAAACCACAAGCACTGGGTACAGGAAGAAAACGGGCCTTGATATTGAGATATTAGGTGGAGAGCACTTATAAAGACACTTTGTATCAACCCTGGGCCTTCACATGCATGAATGTACTTGTGCACATGTACGTGCACAAACACACACACACACACACACACATACACACACACCTGTACACATACATACATACATACATACAAACACATGTAGACCCCAAATACACAAGAGGCAAAGACAAGACAGTTTTCCAGCTGGGAGGACACTAATGGAGTCTTCTAGAAAAGACACAAAACACAATGCTCACGTCACTAATCCAACTGGATTCTTAAGAGAATAAGTACATGTGTATAGACATGCACAAACAAACAGCATCGCCAACCACAGAAATCTTGTGTTCTCTTACCCTATACTGTGTTCTCAGAACACTGTGTTCCCTACACTACACTGTGTTCCTCTAATGGATACTTGTCAGTTTCAGAAATTAGGACAGTCACTTGAAAAGCAAACCCCCTTACCTTGATAAAACCCCAGATCCCACCAGCAGGTGCATCATCCTGGCCTCTAATAATTCTCGGATCTTCCTGTTCCTCTGGGAAAGTAATGGCTGATGTGGTTCCAGGTCCCTGTACCAGAGATGTCATACTGGCTTGCTGAGTGATGGGAGCTGGCATAATACCTAGTCAATGGCAAAGATTTAGTTGGGTAATTTATTCCACAAATGTTTTCCTATAAAAGGATGTATCATATGAGAAGCTCAAAACAAATTCAATCACAGAACTACTTAAGTACCTAAAGATGAAGTTATTAACTCAAACCTTTATAAAAATAAATTTAAAAATCCCTCAAAAGGTATTTTCCCCTTTACATAGGTTTATACCAAGTGTCCTGAAAAACAACAAATACAAGCACACACATACACACACAGGGGTGTCTGTGTGCGTGTGTTCCTGTTTGTCCTATCCAGCATTTGGATGATAGTTGGACTTCTAATCTCTTTAATCCATAGAAATAATTGAGCACTCAAACCCATTGTTAAAAAAAAAAAAATCACTACACATACTCCGTATACTTCCAAAAGAAAACACCCATTGGGGCTGGAGAGCGAGTTCAACTGCTAACACTGGCTGCTCTTGCAGAGGACCCAGGTTCAGCACCCACATGAGGCGGCTCCACAGCCATCTGTAACTCCAGTTGCAGCAGATAAAACACCTTTTTAAGCCTCCTAAGGTGTCTGCATACATGTGGTAGCCATACATACACTTAGGCAGGTGCACGCATGCGCGCACAAACATGCACACAAATAAAATAAATAAATCTCTTTTAAAAACACATGTAAACACAGATAAGCATGTAATACCCATGTTCCATAATGAATTTTAGTTGTAAAGATAGGTCAATTTGGATAATAAATAATCAAAGCTAAAGTGCTCCTTTACCCTAAAATGATGAACAACAGAAGACAGCAAAGATTATGTTTTGATAACTTGTTTCTAACAACCACACTAAAGAAGGGGACCAGGAAGGATGTAGTTGGCCTAAGGAAAGAAATGGCCCAGTCTCACCCACTCCTGACACATGGGACCAGCTAGATAAAATCTATCCCCTAGGGAAGTTACTTCTGATAAAAAAGCAAACTATAATGTACTCTTGGATTGCAGCCTCCAGCTTATCAGTAAGTAACAAATATTAGCATGGAATATGGGAATTCTCTCTCACACCTCAAATGTCATTCGTACATCAGTTTTTATACCACATTAAAAACTACACAGTAAGTTACATTAGTTTTACTGTTAATAATTTAAGTGGCAAAAAGATGAGCGTGGGAAGCTCTGGAAGTCAGAGTGAAGACTAGATCCTTCTGTGGAGAAAGCAAAGGCCCATGAGCAGCGGCTGGGCACGTCTATACATACAAGGACTATACTGTCCACCTCAGATCACTGTCTAGTGCACAGATCACAGTGCAGCGCAATCAAAACCGTCAAACATGGCCGAGTGCTGGGGACAGTGGAGAAGGTCACCTGTGACTGGAGGTGCAGAGAATGACGGCATCAGAGGCGTCTGGGGCGCTCTCCCGGCATGGCCCCTCGTGATGTCGTAGGCTGCACCAACGGAAAATCCTGAGATAGGAGGACCCGAAGGTGGTGTGGACAGGAGAGCGCCGGAGGCGGAGGTCGCAGGTGGGAAGGGGGCTGTGGGGGGGCTGCTGAAGGCCGTGGCAGGTGACAGAGACATGGAGGGTGGCACAGAGGTGCCACTCAGGGGAACCGAAGGAGCTGGGGACAGCGGCACAAAAGGAGGCGGGGCCGAGGGCTGCACAGGGGGCAGGGATGGCTGAGGCGTGGAGTACGCGTGTGGCGGCAAGGACTCCATCCCGGACACACCAGGAGATGAGAAGGAACTGGTTGCAGCTAAAACAACAACAAAAGAAGAGGATAAACACACAGAGATGAAAAGGCTTTTTATCTCATTTTCAAACTCCCCTGCTTGGGAAGGCCCTAATGTGGTAAGGCAAATCATAATAATTAATTTTAAAGGTGTAATTTCCAAGGTGCAGGTAGCACTTGTTCCTGAGTGCAGGCTCTGGGATCCCACTGGGGAGGCCACACAACTCCAGGGCGGCACTGTCCCAGAGCAGACCTTCCTTCCCATTAGTTTGCTCCTCAGATAAGAAGGCCATTCTCATCCCGCATTGGAACATTAAAACCTCAGAAAGATTAATCCCCACACGGTCACAGAACACCAAGGACAACAATGCTCTGAAGGCTGGCTAGAAGGAGGGTTTGGAGTGAGTGTGAACAGGGCGCGCGAACCTGCTGCCGGCCAAACACCACGCCTGCTGACCTGTGACAAGCAAGGCTGTTTCTCTGTAGTGGTTTAAATGTAAGAGGGCTATGTCTTCGCACCCGACAAGATCAGAGAAGCATTAACAAACACATTCTTAACTGATTCTGAGAGACCAGTGTCTTCCTCAGCCTCCAACCCGCCAGAGGTCAGGCCCAACACCCACCTAAGTGAACCTCAGTGGAGGGCATGGCGGCGGCGGCGGCGGCGGTCAGGCCTGTGGGGTTCAGGGGAGGGGTTCCAGGTGGAGTTGTCTCTATTCCGCTTTCTTCCATCATTGTCCCTCAATTACGGTGCACTGCAGAGATACAAAACGTGATAAGCTTTACTCAGGGGCAGCAGCTCACGCAGTCAGAGAACAACTAAGAAAGATCACCAAGAGGCGAGTCTGCCTTTACTGCTCGTAACACAGCCACGTCTGGAGGAAAGGCTTAGCCAAACTCCTGAGAGACGGCTGCGACGACCCACCTGGTCACGGCACTTGGGCTCCTCTGAGGACCCGAGTTCAGATCCCAGTGCCCAAGCAGACAGCTCACAACTACCTGTACTGCACCCTCCTCTAGCCTCCAAAGGCACCCACGCACGTGTCACATGCACGCATGCACACATGCACGCATGCACACATGCACGCATGCACACATGCACGCACGCACGCACACACGCACAAAATATTTAAAAAAAAAACTTAGTATCTGAAAGAATCTGTATAGTTTTTGGGTCTGGTTCATTTCTGTGCATAATTTTTCTTATTTGCAACAACTTTTATAACAAAGTTTAAATAAATTTAAAAAGCTATGAAATTACTTAATATACAAATATCCTGTGACATTTCCATATACATATTTTACAACTTGGAAATAATTTTGCATTAACCATTTCATCAATGAAGCTGTATATTTCAAATAGTAGAGTGCCAAGTCGATTTGGCCACTTGAATCCTGTTAAGAGTCACATGCAGGTTTCAGTCAAGATGCTTAAAATACAAACATCTAATTTATCTTTGGCCGGGCGGTGGTGGCACACAACTTTAATCCCAGCACTCGGGAGGCAGAGCCAGGCGGATCTCTGTGAGTTCGAAGCCAGCCTGGGCTACAGAGTGAGACCCAGGAAAGGCGCAAAGTTACACAGAGAAACCCTGTCTTGGAAAACCAAAAAAAAATAAAAATAAAAATAAATTACCTTTAAAGCCCCTCTTCTTCCCTCACAAAACACCCCACGTGGGCTACTCTGTTAACATTTCTTTTTAAAAGTTAAATTTGCTTGACTTTACAAATGCACTCTCTTTCCCCAGTATATTTCATGTACACTATACCTATTATCATTTTTTAAAAAAAAAATCAAGATGCGTTCAGCTCTATAAACAGGCTAGCCTCCAGCCTGGTCCACAGCAGCTTTGTAAAGTGAAATGGTGTGGCTCGGGTGTTAGAAGTTGCCTGTAAAAATCGAAGAAAGTAAGGTCCTAACAGATGATGATGCACACCAAATACAAGGAACCATCCTTACAAATCCGAGTGCCTTCTCAGCACTCAGCTTCATGCCCATAACCTGTGCAGCTCTCAGCCCTCTTCAGAGAAGGTCTTTTTGCACTGGATGGCGGTTAATGGAGAGAGTCGGAAGTACTGGAAGCATAGCAAGTGACTGTGGGGTGCTCAGCCTTACCAGGAACAGCTAAGCAACACCCGTCCCACCAAGGCGCAGGGAGCATCACAGAACAGTGTAGCATGAATCTTAAAATACCACCACAGAACAGGGAAGGGGGAAGACTGTAAGAGCCAGAGCGGGAGCTGCTATGAGACAGGGTCGTCTAGACATGCACAAAATCAAGCCCGTCGGTTTCCAGCAAGGATGGAGGAGGAGTGGTTCACAAACCCAGCACTAGCTGAGGGGTTGAGACAGTTGATGGCTGTTGGGGAGGGGGGGAGTCTGATTTCTTCAGGGATATGTCCCACAGTAGACCTGCGCCCCCCCACACACACCACACACACACACACCACACACACACACACACACCACACACACACACACACACACCACACACACACACACACACCACACACACACACACACACACACAGGCAGCACTATTTGAAGGAGGTGTGAGTAGGTGGGGGTGGATATGATTCTATTAAAAAAATTACAAATCTTAGAATTCATCCTAAGAGTATGATAGTGTTAACTATAGTCAACTTGCCAGACTCTGGAATCACCTGGGAGGAGCAGCCCCAGGGCACAGCTGTGGGCATTATCTTGATTGTGTTTACTGCAGTGGGAAGATCTGCCCACTGAAGGTGGGACCATTCCCTGGTTGGGCTCCTAGACTGTAAAAAAGGAAAATGGGAGTTTATCATCACCAGGATCATGCCATTTTGTAAACTTCATTTTGGTTGATTGGTAACAATTACAGTAACTACAGGAATTTGATTTCTAGAAGTAAATTAACTTGTTCCATAGAGTACTGATTATTCTACCCTGTGAATCCCAGGAAAGACATTTATTGGTCTCTGACATTCTTTCTGTCACTGCTCACCATTCATAGTCATAAGTCTTTCAACTCCCTGCCTCCTGCCTTCTAACCACCCCAGTGAGGAAGCTGATGGTGGTCTCTGATTCTTGCAGAGACCCCTCTGCAGGTTTTTCTCCCTGAATAAGGAAGGGTCTCATGCCCTGGCCTGTCTTTCCTTCTTGCTCACCTTCCGTTTGGTCACACACACACACACACACACACACAGATGGTGTCTACGCAAGAGAACCTGAGAGGCAGAGCAGGGTAAGCTGGGGAGCAGGGCAGAGGCCAAGAAGATAAAGGGCTGGACTGAGGGAACCTTTGGACTACAATCCGGAGCTAAGTCTTTGAATGCGGTAGTGCAGTGTGTTGTCCTTTATCCAGGAGCGACCACTGCCAAAGGGCAGTGCAGCTGAAGAAAATTACAAGACATCTAGGCTTAAGAGAAGTGTTTAGTCCCAGGGCAGATCATTTTATTCTAATTTTATGTTTATAAATGTTTTGCCCACATCCTGTGTACCATGTGGGTGGCTGGTACCCACATGTCTGATATTTCTGATGGTCTTAGGAGACCTCTGGAAGAGGGAGGGTCGTTTGACCCCCAAGTTGAGAGCCACTGCTCTAGGAAGTTTAGAAGAGTGTTAGCCCTTGGTCATAAGGAGAGATGAAATGAGATCTTCCCAAACAATAAGCACCCCTTTCCTTGAGGGGTCCTACTTAACAATGGAGTACCTTCAAGAGGACTGGGACATCTCTTCAATATGATCTGAGGGAAAGCTCTCCACTGAGCTGAAGTTTCTGAGGGGTCCATCTGGCTGAGGGTCAGAAATAAGGCGTCTCCAACGGGAAAAATCTAAAAAACTCTCCCAAGGCTGAATCAGCCATTGGCTGATGGGAAGTCAATGGATACGGTCCCTGTTAGAACTGCTTGAGGCCGGGCTGGAGTAACAGTTGGGGAAGGGAGGTCTCTAGGTTGGGAAAACAGTTCACTGTCCACTTAGAGTAGGGACAGTTACAGGGGGCAGGTGGGGGGTCAAAAGCACCCACTGCCAAGAATAATCAAAGACTGGTGAGTGAGAAGCCATGGACTAAAGGATGATCATAACTATCCCTCTGACCAGCCACATCAAGGGCCTGAAGGGGTGAGAGGGGGCACAGCGGGAAAACAATCTGGAGCGCTGGTTACTGTAGTTACAGAAACTTTCAAACTGGTGTGACCACTGATACCAAGCAGCAGCAGGCATCCGTTCATCAATCTCCGCTTCCTGATTCTGGATGCCAGGTGACCTTCAAGCCCCGCCTGGAAGTCTCCGCCATGGTGGGCTATGCCCTTGAACTATGAAACGGATAAGCCCTTCTCTCTGAAGTGGCTTCTGTTGTTTGTTGGAGTGTTTTATACAGCAACAGGAAAAGAAACTCAGACAGTACAAAACCAGCTCTAAACATGCAAATTGGCTCTTGATGTTTTGACTCATTTTACAAACGTTCAGCGAAGGCAAATTGTTTGCCAAGCACTGAATTGAGCTAAGCAAAATCTGGTCAACATAGAGACTTGTACAGGACACAACCAAATAACAGTACCCACCCGTACCCAAGGATGCTGGTATAATTCAAAACAGTAACAGCAATAACAGGACACAACCAAATAACAGTACCAATACCCAAGGATGCTAGTATAATTTAACACAGTAACAGCAATAACAGGACACAACCAAGTAACAGTACCATTACCCAAGGATGCCAGTACAATTCAACACAGTAACAGCAATACACAGCAAGGCTGGATTCTATATGCTGAGCCTGAGAACACAGTTATGCTGGACAGAAGAAAGGATTCTGACCGAAAGGTCTGGGGAAGGAACCCAACTCTCGGATGAGCTCAGTTCTGAAAGGTAAACCCAATTTCCATAAGTCAAGGAAAGAAAGCTCAAATCGGGAAAGGGGAGGCGCCCAGAAGAACAGTGGGCACACTGCAGGTATAAACACTATGGATGGCAGAGGGAGCAAGACACAGTCATGCAAACCCAAGTGACGGAAGAGGACTGAGGGCCAGCCAGGGCCCAGATGCACAGCCTTCCTGACAGAGGTACGGAGCTGGCCCTTTTAAGAACAGAAAGGCACTGGAGCTGGAGGAAGCATCTGTCTTTTTATTCTAACTCTTCTGAGATTTTAAATCCATAAGATGCGAACACAGTAGAGTACACTACGCAAGCTGATCTCAGTCACAGTCGCTTACAGAAATTTGCAAATACTGAAGGCAGAAAACTGGCTATGAAACGGCACTACTAACGGCTCTGGAGAGCTTCCCCGGACTTCGGTTGTTTTTAGTTATTGCTGAGTATATGAGGTGTGGACAGTTCTGTGAAGCTGAACCACGTGCAGAGACAGCCATCATCACCACAGTTAGGACCCACAAGCACACCATCACTCCAAACTCCCTCACTGTACTCCTTTCATCCTCCAAACATAAAGCCAGCAACAAAACACTCCCTGGGTCTCTCACTTTCTCACTTCACAAAGATAAAACAAATAAAATCACACCCCGAATAACCTCTTCATATTTGACTTTCCCCACCACCACCACACACACAGAAAAATGTCTGAAGTTCATCAAGGCTGGTCCACTTGCATTCTTGATAAATGGCATTTCCACCTCACAGATGCCGTCAGTCCACCCACTACCCACTGAAGACCTGGGCTGACCCCCGTTATTGACAATCCCTATTTGTGTTCTGAAGACTCCTTTGGGCATGGGTCCTAACTCAGTGGTGAAACACTTGCCTAGCAAAATGCAAGGGCCC